ACACACACTCACTCACTCAGACACACACTCACTCACTCAGACACACACACACTCACTCAGACACACACTCACTCACTCAGACACACACTCACTCACTCAGACACACACTCACTCACTCAGACACACACACACTCACTCAGACACACACACACTCACTCAGACACACACACACTCACTCAGACACACACACACTCACTCAGACACACACACACTCACTCAGACACACACTCACTCAGACACACACTCACTCAGACACACACTCACTCAGACACACACACTCAGACACACACACTCAGACACACACACTCAGACACACACACTCAGACACTCACTCAGACACACACTCACTCAGACACACACTCACTCACTCACTCACACAGACACACACTCACTCAGACACACTCAGACACACACATACACACACATACACACACATACACACACATACACACACATACACACACTCACTCAGACACACACACACACACACACAGACACACACTCACTCAGACACACACACACACACACTCACTCAGACACACTCACTCAGACACACTCACTCAGACACACTCACTCAGACACACTCACTCAGACACACTCACTCAGACACACTCACTCAGACACACACACACACACACACACACACACACACACACACACACTTAGAACACCATAGATAAAATCACGAGCACATAAAATGTATAATATAATAATTACACAAGGATGAGAAAAGTGTTCAAACTCGTTCTATATAAAGTATAGCATTGACACACACATATTATAAATAATCTAATTATTTTTCTTTCCTTCTTAAATTAGCAGAACTCTATTTAGTCTAAACGCTTGTCGTAATGTGCCTTCCTGAGAGACCTGTAAAACAAGATCTGTATAAAAACAAAAACTAATAAAAAATAGTAATAAAAAATAGATATAAATATATATGTGTGTATATAAAAAAATATAAAAAAAATCTAACATTCCACATATTTCTCGAATCAAATCACTAATATATTATATAGACTCATTACATGCAAAGTGAGATATTTCAAGCCTGTTATAATTGTGATGATTATGGCTTACAGATATGAAAACCCCAAATTCAAAATTAGAATATTGTGAAAAGGTTTTCATATCTGTGATCAATAATCATCAACATTATAACAAATAAAGGCTTGAAATATCTCACTTTGCATGTAATGAGTCTATATAATATATTAGTTTCACCTTTTAAGTTGAATTACTGAAATAAATGCACGATATTCTCATTTTTCGAGTTCCACCTGTAAAGTACAGCATTGACACACACATTATAAGTGAGCATTTCTTCTTGTTAAGTAAGCGCTGGTAAAGCTGTTCCGGAGCGGTCGAGCCGAGAGTGCCGGCCGATGACAGCTATTGTGTCTGAAAAGCGGAAACGCTTGTAAAAACACTGGTTTCCTGCGGCTCTCGATGCGCGACTCTATCGCGTCCGGTCAATGCTTCCCTGTTTAACACTCAGTCACACTTTACTCTTTCACTCAGAGCATGTTTATCCCAAAACTGATTAAACGCACTGTACAGTGAAAGTTTAACTCGTTAAAAATACTCAAATATATCTATAAATGAACCTTATGATTGTTCAGAGAAATGCATATTGATGTGATGTCATCTGTCTATTTACACTAGCAGGCAAAAAGTTTGAGGTCGGTAAGATTTTTTAAATGTTTTTGTCACCAAGGCTGCTGTCATTTGATAAAAAATACAGTAAAAATTGTGAAATATTATTCCAATGTAAATCATCTGTTTTCTATGTGAATATATAGTAAAGTGTAATTTATTCCTGTGATTTTCAGCATCATTACTCCAGTCTTCAGTGTCACATGATCCTTCAGAAATCACTCTAATATGAGGATCTGATGCTCAAGAAACATTTATGAGTATTATCAGTGTTGTAATTTTATTTTTCAGGATTATTTGACAAATAAAGTTCAAAAGAACAGCATTTAACTGAAATGGGAAGCTTTTGTAACATTAAACACTACCGTTCAAAAGTTTTGGGTCAGTTTTTTTTTTAAGAATTTAAAGAAATTAATACTTTTATTCAGCCACAATGTATTAAATTGCTATATATTTTTGTAACCTTATAAATCTCTTTAGTATTTAGAATAAATGCTGTTCTTTTGAACTTTCTGTTCATCAAAAAAATCCTGAAAAATAAAATTGTACACAACAGTCTATTATGATAATACTCATAAATGTTTCTTGAGGATCAGATCCTCATATTAGAGTGATTTCTGAAGGATCATGTGACACTGAAGACTGGAGTAATGATGCTGAAAATTCACAGGAATAAATTACACTTTACTATATATTCACATGATTTATAATAATATTACACAAAATAATTGCAGCCTTGGTGAGCAGAAGAGACTTCCATTTAAAACATTAAAAATCAATATATATCATGCATGTTTGATTTATTGTAAAGCATTTATGAATATCTACATCTCTAAAACTATCCATATTAAATGATGTTTCAGTTTCTGGTGTGAAAAGATGGAATTTTCTAGAAAATGATCTAAAATGTTGTTCAAATATTCTACAATTTAAATACAAGTATAAACAGAAGATACTTCATTTATATAAAGATGAATGTGAAAATTGATAAATTATATCAACAATCTGGTCTGGGCGATTTTGTTATTTTTTGTTGTTGTTATCTTTTGTCATGTCGGTGAGGCCATCTAATTTGTAATTCTATTTTTATTATAAGAATGGGGTAGGAGTTTATAAGATTGCTCTTCTTCATCCTCCTACTCCTGTTCTTCTTGTCATGGAATGTATTTTTGTTGTGTTTGTTGGATTTGTTAAATTGCTGTTGTGGCATTTCGTGTTGCATTACCATGAAAAGAGAAAACATAAATAAATAAATGAAAAAATGTTACATTAATTGAGCATTAAATCCAAGCCGTTTCTCCGTGCTTCACGTTTAGATCGTCGTATCAGTGAGAGTGTGTGGCAAAATATCAGAGAGCAAAGTGTGTTTTAATGCCAAAGTGCCTCTCATCTTTCAGCTTAATTTCCACTTAATTTTTTTAATTGCATTTATAATAGCAAGATGTTTTGGGTATATTTGCAATGTTTTCTTTGTAGGGATGAACGTTTACTTTTTCTGAAAAATATGAATTTTTATTTATTTTAATAGACAAAGATTACCCCCTTTATTGTTAATCTTTGATTATGGGGAAATGCCATACACATAAACAAAAATGGGCTAAAGGAAAACACAACTTTTTGTTACTTCAGATAGATATTAAAAATATATATTGACTTGAAGCAATATTTATATGATGATCTCATACCTGTTCTTTTTATCATTTTCTTTCTTTCTTTTTAACTTGTATAATTATTTGATAAATTTCAGTGTGTATTTTCTTTTCCTATTTGTTGTAGTCTACATTTGTTTAATATTTTTACACTATATATTGGATTATTGTCATGTTTATTATTTGTATCTGACTGGCGTTCAATAAAAAAAATAATAATAATAAAAGGTTTCTGTTTATATCACTTTCTTTCTTTTTTACTTGTATAATTATTTTATAAATTACACTGTGTATTTTCTTTTCCTATTTGTTGTGAGTCTATATTTGTTTAATATTTTTACACTATATATTGGATTATTGCCATGTTTATTATTTGTATCTGACCGGCATTCAATAATAATAATAATAATAATAACAATAAAACGTGGCAGCGATCGCTGAGATTTCTATGGGACTGAGAAAGAAAAAAAATCCACGTATTTTTTAATAGCATTAATAGCAAGATGTTTTGGGTAGATATGGAATATTTTTAGGGATGAAACTTCACTTTTCTTAAAAAAAAAAACAGTGTTTTATGTTAATAGACAAAGATCACCACCAAATGTGGCCTTTATTGTTAATCTTTGTTTGATTATAGCATCTCATACCGGTTCTTTTTCCAGTCTATATCATTTTCTTTCTTGCTTTTGTACTTTTATTTTATGATTTTAACTGTGCATTTTCTTTTCCTATTTGTTGCAAGTCTATATTTGTTTAATATTTTTACACCATATATTAGATTATTGTCATGTTTATTATTTGCATGTGCCTGGCATTCAATAAAAAGATTAAAATGAATGAAAGCGTGGCACAGATCGCAGCATTACCTCATCCGAGCGGGAGGATCAAAGCCGCTTTTAAATGAGGAAATCGGCCAAAAAAAGTCAATTAGATTTAAAGAATTGGGACAGGGTCTCGGGTTGACCAACGGATTTTAATTTAGAAAACAAATTGGCAACCAGTTTATTATGCAGCCCAACCCATCCACAGGAGTGAATCACGTTCCTCAGCATCTCCGGAGACGCGTCTGCGCCTTTGCTTTAGATTTATCAGTGCGGGCACAACCTGCTTCTTGTTTAGTCTCCGCCGCGTTTCGAAAGACTTGGCGTTCGCTTGCAATCGCACAAAGGGAAAAGCTGCACGAAGGTCAACTTAAAAGAGATACGCTTAGCACATCTAGATGGATGTTTTGCTCAAAAATAAATGTAGATCAGACTGAAATCCTGAGGAAAAATGACCCCGGTTTGCTCCGGACGGGCCGTTTCTCTGGGCGAACCCTCTGAAATTCATCAAATTGGATCAAGATGACATCAATAATCGACTCAAGCTGGAGCTCACCAAATGATCCATGCATTGTTTTATTTTTTCCCTCTCGATGCACATTCCGATTACGGACGCCGTCATCAAAAGCCTCGTCACAGATGTCAACACATCTGAGCTGTTTTCTCTTATTCCCGAGGCTTTATCGCATTACGGAGCGGTCCGGGAACGGATTCTCAACTCTTTAATTGTAAATCGTTGCAAGCACACCTTAATAAAACCGCAAAATCATTTACAATGCATTTAAGCTCTGTGTTTTTATGCATGCATGTTAACTCACCTGGGAATCTGACGGGTGACCTTTGACCTGCTCGTGTCGAGAGGAAAACGAGAGAACGAGCGTCAGATACTGTGTGATATTTCTGCCAAATCAAGCCCAAAAACATATGCAACATCTAAAGGATTGATAACTGTTTGAGGATATTTATTTGCATGTTACCCGGGAATCGAATGCATAAAATAAAAATAATACTAAAATAAAATAGAAATGGAATAAAATAAATACAAATAGAAAATAAAATTAAAATAGAATAAAATTAAAAAGAAGAATACAATAATAAAATAAAAATATTGAATGCATGACGTGCAACATGAGGACAAACATCTCTGATTTCATGGAATATTTCCAACAAATAAAGCCCAAAAAACATATGCAACATCTAGAAGATTGATAACTGTTTGAGGAAATACATTTTTATGTTACCTGGGAATCAAATGCATGCTACCAAAATCATCAAATTAAAATAATACTAATCTTAAATTAATTTAAAAGTAGAATAAAATATAAATGGGATCAAATATAAATAGAATAAAATAAAAAAGTAGAAAATAATGTGTAAAATAATAATAAAATAAATTTAAATAAATAAAAATAGAATCAAATTAAAAAGTATAATACAATAATAAAATAAAAATATTGAATGCATGACGTGCAAGATGAGGACAAACATCTCTGATTTTATGGAATATTTCTAACAAATCAAGCCCAAAAAACACATGCAACATCTAAAGGATTGATAACTGCATTTAAGCTCTGTGTTTCTATACATGCATTTTACCTCACCTGGGAATCTGACGGGTGACCTTTGACCTGCTCGTGTCGGATGAGCTGCAAGAGGGAAACAAGAGGACAGGCGTCACAGATAATATTCCGACCGAATCAACATATGCAACATATAAGGACTGAGAGGATATTTATTTTTCTGTTACCTGGGAATCGAATGCATGAAGTGTAAGACGTGCAACATGAGGACAAACATTTCTGATTTCATGGAATATTTCTAACAAATAAAGCCCAAAAACATATGCAACATTTAAAGGACAGTTACCTGAATCGATACATGACCTTTGACCTGTTGGTGCAAGATGAGCAACATGAGGACGACGGCACATCAAAGATTTACTGTAGCCTAATATTCCTACCAAATCAAAGCCAAAAAACACAACATTTAAAGTACAGATAACGGTTTAAGGATATTTATTTTTATAATGTTACCTGGGAATGGAATGCATGACCCTTGACCTGCTTGTGCAAGACGAGCAACATCAAAGATTTCATGTAATATTCCTGCCAAATCAAGGCCAAAAAACACAACATTTAAAGGTGAGAGATCACAGTATAAAGTAATGTAGGATTTCATTAACCATAAAAACCCCTGTGATCTTGCCGTTGCTCGAGCTCTGACAGGTAAATATGTATAAAAATAAAAACACGTCACAGATTTAGTGTAAAACTTGCATCAAATCAAGCAAAAACAACATATAACCCATTGACATTCTTCCCTTCCACGACCCCAAGTGTTTAACTGGAACAAAGCGAATTTATTTCTCAAAAATACTCTACAAGTACTTGTTGCGTGTTAACCATTTTTGAGAAATAAATTCGCTTCGTTTCAGTTACTAAACAAACATTTGGGGTCGTGACTCCAAAAGGTAAATAATTTATATCCTACCCCCATTCATACTAGTATTCATAATAATATAATATATATAAGTTAATTAGTTGGCATGAGCCACCGTATTATCATTAAAAATATAGAAAAAATAGCACAAAATGAAACCGTGGTATTTTGGGTTAAGATTATGGAAACTACCGTGGTAAATACACAATTATACTTACATGAATTGTTATTAAAATATGAAAACTGCTCTTGATGAAAGGAAAAAACATCAAACCTGCATCATGCGAACACACGATGTACCAACTTACTTTTTGGTAATTTCACGATTTACTAATTGACAACGTAACTACGACGTTTACGTAACGCGCGCCTCCGCATTTGATTTTCGCGGGCAACCGAAGAGTGCGCGCGCGCGACGAGCACAGTAACGTCTGGACACGACGTGGAAGTTCGTTTTTCTGAGGTGAGAGACTTTTTATTTCCTATTAAGTTGGGAAAATAAAGTTAGAATGATGACACTGATAGCGTGACAACATCTCATGATCGACCGCAGATACTGAATCAGTACAACGCGTTTTTCTCAGGCGAGAAGAGAAAAGAGTCAACAGCGTTGAAGTGCGTCTTTCAAAATAAAAGTCTCACATCAGAAAAACCTCTGAACTTAAAGCTGCAGTCCGTAGCTTTTCCTCTTTGTCGCCATCTCTCTGTTCGAAATCTGTAACTGCAGTGATTCGCGGAATTATCATCTTTACGTGGGTTGTAAATCGGCATGAAACAGCGCGGATGAACACAGTGCTTTGAGGCGAGTGCTGCTGTCAGTCACCGCGCTGTGTGGATACTGGCATTCAGAATCACAGATTCACTTTTTGAAAGTTTGACCAACATAAGAATTTTCATTACAAATTTTCATTTCAGCAGACAGGCTGAATGACAACACCTACTTTTCTAGATCCAATCAGGTGCTAGTTGAAAAAAAAGCCACGCCCACTATTTTGCCTCATTTAGTATTCCGTATCTCTCGGAAATACGTCACAACACTGGAGAAAAGTCGTTTGCAACTTCCGGTTCACGGTGACGGGGACTTTAAGTAAACTAATCCTTTAACCGTCCTACTCGCACATTCTACCATGTTTGTAGTTCTTAACGCTTTTTATTCGTACTTGTAGTTCTAATCGAATCCAATGGGTTCTGGGCAATATTAGCATAGCGTGTGTGTACAGATCGGCACTTCGGATTCTAACGGGGAAAAGTAGACCATCTCGGGTATCAGTGGAATACTCATTTCAACACACTACGATGTTTAGGACAGATAGTTTGCGGATAGTATGTATGCGAATTGAGATGTGACATGTCGGGCAGAAGAGTCAACAGCGTTCACGCACGTCTTTCAAAATAAAAGTCTCACATTAGAAAAACATTTTGAGTTATTTTTTGTTGTTGTGGTTTCTTTGACCACACACTCGCCAGCCACTTTTGGGTTGTGACCCACCAGTTGAGAAACTAGTTTAAAGCTACAGTCAAACCAAAACGTATTCAGACACTTTCAACATTTCTCACATTATCACAGTTTATTCGCTATAGTTTAGGAAATGGTTATAAACATGAGCAGAACTCAGATCAGTGGATATTTGACAGGTTTTGTCCGTCCTTCTGTTAGACTCACACATGAATTATGTTGAATATCTGTCAGCTGTTAAATTTAACTACACAATTAGATAATACCAGTTTAGCTCAACCAGTGACCAAGCAATGCTTCATGTTGTTCAGTCTGTGTGTAAAAAGAGCATTAGCAATTACAGAAAACACACTTCAGCAGAACATGATCAGCTCAATAATATTTGCTCCCAAATGTGTATAAATGTCACTGGTAGTCACTGTATGGAGAACATTTGGGTGTAATATGTCACAGTTTACTTTATTTTGCTCTCCCCACTTACATAAATTAACTATAGTGTCCTGCACACACACATCTGGTGTCTGAATAATTTTTGGTTTGACTGTATATTTTTTATAAATGCATGTTACTTGTGAATTGAACGCATGACCTTGCATGAGCTGCAAGACAAAAACAAGCAGACGAACATCATATATTTCATACACTATTTCTAATCCCAAAATCATATGCAACATTTAAAGTAGGTACTGTTTGGAGCAATCTATAATTGTGAAAATATGTAAAAATGAGAAGAAGGGTTTGTTATGAGCCACCACGTGTCTTATCTATGATGCACGTTTAGCCATCATATCTGATTATGAGGACTATTGTGACCTCTTTGTCATGTTCCCAAGGTTACTAATCAAATTTCCGTCCGGTTCAGAGAACACAAAGGCTCATGGTAAAATCCTCCCGCTCAAACACCCTCTCGCTCCTTCATGTGATGAGGTCAGCGAGGATGTAATTCCTGGGATGAAAGACTATCCTCGTGTTTTGATCCGGCCGAAGTGAGGGGATATTGAGCTTCAGGTGGGCGCCATGCCGTTTTCATTACGGGGCGCTGATGTAAGGACTTTTATGTGTAAACGTGGGGCAAATGGTTACAGTGCATTAGTTTAATGTTCCCTAAACGGTATGTGAAGTAGATTATCTCTAGTGTTAGTGTTCCTAGTGATGTGATCGAACCTCTGACACTGAGAGCTAAAGTTCAGCGTTTGTGTTTCAGACATAAATCATCTGTACTAAGTGATCAGACGCACTGTTTTCTAAACAAATGAGCAGTAAAAAATCCCCCCCCCCCCCCCAAAAAAGATCAAAGAGACACGAGGTCAGTGGCATTATCATTTACAAAAAAAAAAAAAAAAAAAAAAAAATAGAATAAAATAAAAATTAAATAGAAAAAAGTAGAATGAAATAAAATAATAAAAATAGAATAAAAATAAAAAATTAAATAGAAAATTAAAAGTAGAATAAAATAATAAAAAATAGAAAATAAAACAAAATAATAATACAATAAAATAATATGAAAATTAAATTAAAATAAAAAGTAGAATAATATAAATAAAATAATAAATAAAAATAGAAAATAAAATAGAATAAGCTTAAAAGTAGAATACAATAAAATAATACAATAGAAATAGAAAATAAAATAATACTAAAATAAAAAATAAATAGAAAATAAAAATTGAATAGAATAAAACTTATAGTAGAATTAAATTAAAATGCACAGAAATAAAATAATAAAAATAGAAAATAAAATAATACTAAAATAAAATAGAAAATAGAATAAAATAATACTAAAATAAAATAGAAAATAAATAAAATAAGACCCAAAGGATAAAAACCTGCCAGCAAGCAAACACCTAGCAAAGCCATAGAAGTTTAACTTCGGTAAACTTTTGGCCGCATTATAGTGAATTTTGCTGCCAGAAGTTTACAATTGTTGTAAAACTTTAGTTAGAAAGCCTTAACATAAAACACCCTTACGTTATTCAAAACACGAATGGCTCTGTGTCCCAGATAACCTTGGGAATAGATGTGGGGTTTTCAGACTCAGTAATTAACGTTAGAGGATAATATCGATTAATGAAAGAGATCCTGAAACACATGATGAACTTCCAGCTGTCAATCATCAGCCCATCATGAGGCGTGAGTCGCTCGCTCGCACTGCAATAACACGGGCATCCTTCCATTGTAACGCGAGCGAGCGACTCGATGTGATATCAGGCTTCCTGAGAGTGAAGCCACGTAACGCTCGAGTGTAACACACACACACACACACACACACCAGCAGCAGGAAAACACTTAATGGATGCATGGATGCTTTTACACACTCCCTCTGTTTCTGTTTCTGTGAGCGCTTTATTGTGTTCATGGACCGTTTATCAAAACATGAGGAAAATATATATATTTTTGAGTATTTTTATATTATTAAATGTATTAATTAATATTTAATATTGATGCTTTTACACCCTCCTTCTGCTTCTGTCCGTGTTCTTGGACCGACTAGAAGAAAAGCTTACGATAACGACAACGTAACGATACCCTCACGATTCGATACGCGATACTGAACTCACGATACGATATTACTGCGATACTCCAAGATATATGATAAAAAGATTAACAAAAAATGTACTGTTGATTAAAATGCTAAATTTGATAAATTTACATTTTGGGTATAAATGAATAGACTTGGACTTGTTTGCTTTTACACACTCTGTCCGTTTGATTGTATTTTTTTATTTCAGTCAAATGAATGTACTATATTTTAGTTTGATCATGTTTTTTATTTAATATTTTGTTTTTTTTATTGGATTTTATGGTACGAAATTACATTTACACTGTATTTATAATCCATTTATTCACTTTTTGAGCGTAGACCTGAAAATTAAATTTACAACTTGTCGTACATCTTGAACGCTTTAGAGCGACAGACTGAAGTTTGATCTCTTTTTTAAAGACGACATTTGGCAGATTATTGCTGAGGTGGAAAAAGTTTGAAAAAGTGAACTTAAAAAAGTAACAGAATTTTGTTTATGAAAATGTGAAAAAATTATATTTTTAGTTGTTATATAAAATATATTTTTTCAAAAACATGTTTTACTCTAAAACTGTGAGAAAATCAAAGCCATAAATCTAAACAAGCTCTAAAAGGTTGATATCTCAGTAAATGAGCGTTCAGTGAGATGTTGTTCGGCTGCAGTACCGAACGCTTCCACTAGAGGAAACTCCGTT